CTATGCAAATCTTGATTGTGATATTGAAGAACCTGAATCTCTCTTATAAAAATAATTGCTTTGATACAGTGTGAATATTCAGGATTCTATAGATTACCAAGCAGTATAGTAAAAGAGAGAGTTAGTTATTTTAAATAGATGTTCTTTATTGTAAAGTAAGGAGATTTTAGTTTTCAATAGAATGAGAAGCCTTATGGTTTTTCAGCTTGAAAAACTGTTACTACAAGTGAGAGCTTGTCCCAACACAGTTCCTAGAATGGGAGTTATGGGGCTTTTCCTGTTAATAGGTGGTTAGAATTAGACCATCAACGCTCAAATTCTTATAATCCATCTCTAAAAAGTAGCTCAGTCAGCTGCACGGTGAGTCTCTGTATGGAAATAACTTAGAATGGGCTTGAGTTGTTTTTTTGATTCATAATGGTCGAGCTTACAGTAGAATACAACAGAAATTCAGAATTTAGTCTAGTGTATAATAAATACTTGCAGTTTGTATTCATAGCTCAAAAAATGGCTTTGTGAAAATTTGTGAAAGTATTTTTAACATGAGGTTGCTTTGTTACTTGGATTTTCTTCCTAACTTTCTTTCCTTTGATGTCTGTTTCTCTTTCACAAGCAGGAGCAACCGTCAGGGTAACAGGTATCTGACTATTTACCAATCTTGTACGTGGTCTCCATCTACTCAAGCAGAAAAGATGTATGAACCTTGTTTTCATACATCTGCAGTCCCATCCATGTTAAAAACCACCTGTCTGCATTCATGGATTGACTGTCATACCATAGTTTGCTTTTCCCTTTCATAATGCATTTAAAAGTGAGACTGCATTTATTAGTGCCAGAGCAAATATTTTGCTTCATCATCTTTTATGAAACAATTGGACCCTGACCTATGTTGCTTAGTCACTGCTGAATCTCCTGGTTTCTGTCTATTTGGGGAAAAAAAGATCAGTGTTGGCATTAAATATTCTCTTAAGTGTAAAATTTTTTTCAAAATAAACCCCATATTTCACATCTTTCAAAGAGCAGAGAACTTATTACTACCCAAAGTAAAATAAATGGTTTGTTACAATTGTAAAGGCATTTGGCTCCAGAATTATTCAGAGCAAATTTTTACTTACAATAAAGAGCAATTGGGATTCAGAGTTTCTTTGGGATCTTGCACTTCAAATGACTACAGGACTTAACCAGCTGGTGCCCAGCTGCATTTGATTTCTATTCTTTCTGCAGTTCCGTTTTTCACATTTTCCCCTCAGTTACTCAGTGCCTTTGGTTTAATATTATTCTGCAGAACACTGACTTGTATATACACCCCATTCAAGCTACAACTGAAATTTTTTTAAAATAAATTGTTATGCTGCATACACTGGGGAAAACTTGAAATATTATTATTATTATTATTCCCTAGAATCTCTAAAGCCTGTAGACTAATTTTGTGGAGCTGCTTAGATAGTGGATGTGTGGAGACACACTTCAAACTATGCACAATAAATGCAGTGAACCCAAGATGGATAAAGATGGAGGTTAGGCTGTAATAACACTATGTTTTAGCTCACACCCTAGTTCAACAAAACACTAGTTAACGGAATTTTCAAGCTAAATACCCAAACTCTTTGGGTATATTAAGGTGATGTGTTAAAATGACAAACTTTTTTGTGAAATTTAAATTCTCAGGAGCTGTTTTAACTTAAGCTCAATTCATTAAAAAAGGGGAAGCTCCAAATCCTGTTCTGTCAGTATGCTGACTGAAAAAGTAGATATTCCACCTTTTTGGACATTTCTTACAAGGTAAAAAAGTCGCATTGTTGTTTGAAGAGATGTAAAAAACAGAAATATGTTTGTTTTTAAAAGCTGAGAAGTTCTGTGGAGAAAACTCTGTCTTCTCCATTCAGTATTATACTAAACAAGGATAACTTGCCATTTTAAAATATGAAACCAGTCCCTTTCCATGCCAGGAAGCACTGGAATGCCTACGGATGCCTGTGTCTGCATAGAAATGTCTGACATGCACATACTAATGACACTAATGTTTCCTCCCATTGTGATGCTTAAATACTGCTTGTAACATCGGTGTGACAAACAATGTAACCTGGAGGTCTTTGTTTTGTAGCTGTGCTGGGTTATCACTTGTTTAGAATACAGTAGCATTTCCCAAAGATTTTCTTATCCAATATTCACTTGGACTTGGTGCCTTTCACTGGAATTCTGACCTGTAGGAAGTCGATTCCAGCTGCATTGACCACCAACGCGGTATTTAACAACTCATAGGCTTTTTCTCAGAGAAGGGATTCAGGGTTGTTGTTTCCATTCTAGTTACAGCTGAATTGTGTTGAAGTTTCAGCTGGAAGAGTGAGAAAGGGCGGGGTCAGGAATAACCTGGAATCAGCCACAGGATTACTGAGCATGTTGTTTCCTTTGCAGCTGAAACCCAACTGGACGTACAGCTCCAACCCTGGCCCCCAGCTCAGCAGTGACCCTTTTGAAGACCTGTCATTCCAGCTGCTCATGTCCCAGATGCAGACATGTGTCCGAACATCACCCGCTCCAACCTTAAGCCAGGAATTGACACCTTTGCCTTCAGCAGCACAAAGAAACGCTGATAATTTGAATACTATAAACTGCATGCCAGCAACGCCTCCTGTTCCAACCTTCCACTCATCCCAGGAGCATAAGCGCACCTCTCCAAATCCATTTATTTCTGGGCTGAACTGCGCAAATCCATTCACTGAAAGGACTCCTAATGCTGGGAACCCGTTTAGGATGGAAACACAAGGGTCCGGAATAACCTCACAGGTATGGGAAGGACCTGCAGTTTCCCATCCTTTCCCTTCCCTGCCCCGCCCCAGCTGTAACACAGCCAAGCCTCTATTTTCTGTGGATGCAGCTGAAAACACGTTTTGCTTGCCAAGTAAATCTTTCAAGGCAGAAAATGTGCAGCCCAAGGGGTGGGTGACATTTGATGAGGACGAGAACTTCAATGTGAAGCTAAAGCCATCTACAAGTGTCCCGGATTTTCAGAGACTCGGCTCCAGGAAGTCAGCTGGATCTCCAGGTTTGCTGGGCACTGAACAAAAGACTTTCCTTGGTTCAGACTTTAACTTTGGTGATGACTGGAATAAAAGCTCTACTGATTGCTTCTGTGCAATGCCAGCAAGGAGACCCCCTGCACCCCCTGTACCATCCAGAGCAACCAGCAACAGGTCCCCTGCAGATCCCTTCGCCTCCTCAGCACCCCAGGTGTCACCAACTCATGATTTTACAGAAAGATAGTTGTTCAAAGATACAACAGGTTGTATTTGTTGCTACATTTATCCAGTAGAATAATTGGGTATTTGAGATTATTCTGTGTGCAATAATTAAGTGTTAAATGCACTGAAACTTAACTCTACTCATAAACAGCCACTATTGCTTGTGTATAAATTTTGAATGTGTATATATGGTAGAGCACAAAAAATTGTCTGAAATTTATTAAAATCCTGAGGTAATAGTATTTGAACAGACAGAAAAAGAGAAGAAGGATGAGCTACTGATCTCATTAAAATCTACCAATCCTGGACATAGATTTTGCTTAGGGAGCTCTCTCATTTCTGGTCCCCCTTGTGGAATTCCACAGAAAGAGGCTTCCTGTTGGTAGCCTCCCCCCTCCCTTTTGACTGTTTTGTTAATTGTATTTATAAGTATTTACCAAAGAGCTGCCAAAGTTTATTGAGATTTGAATGTTGAAAAGTATTGTTTAGAAGTTGTTTTAATTTATAACAGAGGCTATGGATATTTGTAAGGCTTATATTTGAATTTGAGGCACAACGAAAGTAGTTTACTTTCAAAATACAAACAAAACTTTGCATATTAATATATTCAACTAATTTTCTGTGTCAGTACATTTCAGCTATTAAGTCCTATTGTGACATACACTCACTAGCACTAATTCAGAATAATTGTTCCATATCATCTATTTATTCATTACTATTTTAACTATATTTTTTTTTCCAGAAATTAGAAACAACATATAGAAAAAGTTTTCCCTCAACCTCTTGAAAAAGATTCCCCTTGGGTTTTGAGATACAAAGCAGTCTTTACCAGTTGCAGACAATATAGTCTACCAGCCAGGGAGTGAAACAACACACTAACATTGTATTTACAGTAGCAAGATACTCCAGGGCAGTGCGCTTTTTAAATTCTCCAGCGCTATCAAGACATGATCTATAAAATGACGCATTGTTCCTTTGAGCAGTCCCTGGTTAACCATGAGCTACAGCTGTGTAGAGCAGTGATAGCGAGTTTTATATGGCGCTTTTTTCTGTTCAGGTCCCTCAACTTGTACATTTGGAACAGCAGTGGTACCGTTTGTGCTTCGGTGTGTGAGTTACCTTGTTTTACGCTGTTGCTATAAACATCTGTGTGATCAGTGTTTTGGTATATTCCTACATTGGCAAGCCAGTTTTGGGGGGAAACTTTTTGCTGGTGGGAGTCACGTGATAAATATGTTGTCGAATATCTAACTGCAGTGATTAAAAACTACTGTCTGAACTGTACCTGGTGTTAGGCACCTCTGCACTTCACAGGGCTGTGGGACTGGAGCAGCACCTGCAGGGACCACTGGGAATGCTCTGGAATTCCAGTATGTCTATAAATATATATATATATACACACACAAATATATATATATATAGGTAAGCTGCAGTAACGCCGTGACGTGTGTTGTTGGATGGGAGCGATGACCAGCAGCAGAAGCTCTGAAAACAGGAAGAACTGAAGTGTGATGTGACGCGCTCCCCCAGTGTCACTGGGCGCTGTTCCCGGTGCTCCCGCACACCTGTCCGTGGCTGTATCCCCCTCCCCGGGGACACCCAGGTGTCCACGAAGCGAACGTTCCTGCCCCTTGGTCCGGGTGCTCGTTCTCCCTCCATGCGCCGGGGCCGGCCCTGGGACTACCGGCCGGGGCGCGCGGGCCCTTTAAGGGGCGCCCCGGTGGCTTCCCGGGAGGGCCGGAAGCGGAAGCGGAAGAGCCGCCGTTGAGGCAGCTCCGGAGGGTCCCGGCGGATCCCGAGGATCCCGGTGGATCCCGAGGATCTCGGTGACAGCGGGGGCGGCCCCGGGAGCGGCCCCTTCGTGCCCTCAGCGCGTCCCGGGGCGCTGGGCGCGGCCCTCACCCCGCGTTGGCTCCTCCTCGCCGGTATCCAGGGACGCGGCTCCGTTGCTGAGGGGCTCCGCCGGGCCCGGCCATGGTGCGGCTGCACGTGAAGCGCGGCGGCGAGAGCCAGTTCCTGCTGGAGGCGCCGGGCAGCGCCCGCCTGGCAGAGCTGGCGCCGCTTGCCGCCCGCATCCACAACGGGCGGCTGAAGGTGCAGCGCCTGTGCTCAGGTACCGCCCGGGAACGGCGCCCGGGCACCGGCTGGGCAGCGGGAACGCGCCTCCTCCTCCCTCAGCAGGGCGGTGACCGCCCACCGAAACCGCATGGGAATTCCCGGTCTTGGGATTTTAGTGCGGGCACTGCATAGGGCTGGAAACGGACCTGCTACATGAGCCTGTAGTGGCTGCTTAAATCAGGGGCTGGAAGGGACTTAAACGTCCAGTTCCACGCTCCCTCACAGGCAGGGACACCTCCCACTAGACCACGTTGCTCCAAGCCCAGTCCAGCCTGGCCTTGAACATTTCCTGGGATAGGGCAGCTACAGCTTCTCTGGGCAGCCTGTGCCAGGGCCCCACCACCCTCACAGGGAAGAATTTCTTCTTCATATCTCATCTAAATCTACTCCCCTTCAGCTTAAAGCTATTCCTCCTTGTCCTGTCACTCCATGTCCAAAGTTCCCATTTTGGCAGTGGAAAGGACTCCTTTGTGACCAGCAGTGTCCCTTTACATGTGAATGAGACTGTTCCCTACCACGTACTTGGTGCAAAGCATCCCCTGCCATGTGAGGGAGTGGCAGATGTGTCTGAAGTGGTGCTGAGTTCAGTTCTGAGGCAGTTTTAAAAAATGTTTCCGCCCCCACTGCGGGGCTGCCAGAGCTGAGATTCCCCTCAGGTGAGCCTGACCTGGGGGGTGCAGCCCAGCCTCACTTGCTGTGCTCCAGCCACTGGGTTTGTGGTGTGTCTGAGGCCTTACTGAGCCTGCTCTGAAATTTAAAAGAAAAAACAAACAGCTAAAGCTGATTAGGGAAATGCCAAAAAGAAAAGTGTTGTGGCCAGCAGGTACCATCGAAGCTTGAATCCCTGCCCGTGTATTTGTTATATTGTTGTATATGTATGTGAAATATATGAATTTTGACATAACTACAGCATCTATATCTATCTGTCTTTATATCCCTTAATATTTATTCCCTGTACTTAGCTGTTTAAAATGAAGGCTGGGGTTAAGGTTTGCCTGCACACACATCATGTGAAAGGCTTTTGAAAATGGTCTGTAATAACAAAGACTTTTAATCTTGTTCTCTAAACACTCAAAAGAGATGGAGGAGCTGGCAGAGCATGGTATTTCCTTGCCTTACAATATGCAAGGACTGACAGATGAGCAAATTGGAGAGCTGAAGTTAAAGGATGAGTGGGCAGAGAAGTGTGTCCCAAGCGGTGGGAGCACCTTCAGGAAGGATGAAATGGGACGGAGAAATGGGCACGGTAAGTCAAATGTAAAGATTTGTTTCTTTCCCTGCAGACACAGACCATCTATAACAAACTCCTAATTCTGGACCTGAATAGCCAAAGTATCAGTTACATACCCAGGAGTTCTGTCTTGGGTTAGGGCCTGAGATAATACTGATTTAAAAGCCTACAGAGCAGCATATCTCTTCAGCACACAAACAATCACCAGGAGCAAGTTGGAGTGTCCATTGTAATTTACTCTCCCCATTTGAAAATGTACACTTGAGAACTGGTTTTCTCCAGAGACTCCAAGATATATCAACAGGTTGTTTTTCTAATATTTCTCCTTTTTTCTCGTTGACTGGGGCTCAGACTCACTGAACATGTGTTTGTTAGTGAGAGGACAACTTTATAATGTTGACAAATTCAGAATATTGAACAGTGTGGATATATAGGCCAAACCAAATGCCATCAAGCACCTAAATGGGAAATAAGCTGGGAATGAGTATGCTTTAATTGGATTTTTGTGTTTGAGGACAGGCTTTTTATAGCAATTAAAATAGATAAGTGTGATGTGATATGAAATGAACAGAGTATTTGCAAAACTGCCTTTGCTGTTAGATTGAGATTTTAATTAGAAAAAAGTCAGAACACTGGGAGCTGTTGTGCCCAGTAAAAGCACATCTGCCAGTATGGTTCCCAGTAGTCCAGCAGGGAAAGGGCCTTGTTTTATGTTGTGGAGGGTATGGGATTATGGTTGTTGCTTTCTACTCAGTAGCTTTTTACTCTACCTTTGTCCCAAATGAAGTTTGAAGTCACAGAATTGTGAAATCACAGAATGGTTTGGGTTGGAAGGGACCTTAAAGCTCATCCAGTTTCATCCTCTGCCATGGGCAGGGACACCTTCCACTAGAGCAGATTGCTCCAAGCCCTATCCAACCTGGCCTGGAACACTTGGGGATGGGGCAAATACCAGTTGCATGTCTTTGGGGAAAAGTAAGTTTGGCTGTCCCATGAGAAATACTGTTTTGTCTTGTAAGTTAGTGAGAAATATGGGAATGAACAATCCAACTCATAAATAGGCTGCAGCTTAGGAGTGTCTCTCCTGCTTTGTGATTCAACACTGTTTCATTTGCTCACAGTGGATTCTGGACAGGTTATATGCTTGGTTTCTTTACAGTAAGTGTGGACCATGAAATATGTGTCTCTTATTTTTAGCTCCAAATGAAAAAATGCAGCAGGTTATAAAGAAGACAATAGAGGAAGCCAAGGCATTAATCTCTAAGGTAAATTTCCTCAAGTGGTATGTGGGGCTTTCTTAAGAAGTGTTGTGGGGTTGGGCAGCTTAAATAAAACCAGACTTCTTTCAGTGCAAGGGCTGCCAGCTCTTGAGAAATACCATGTAGTGATGTGAATAGTCTAATAAAAACTGACATCTCTGTTAATTATTTCCTTCGTGGCTTTTGGCAAGCTGGTTCAACAGGTTAAGGAATCAGATCCTAAACTCCAAGTGAATGCTGGCAGCCGAGCCCACGTGGAATGATTAAATCGCACTCAGGGTTTCCCAACAATTTGCTATTGATGTGTTCTTTGGGTGAATACTTGTCGTGCTTTCTGGTGAAAAATTAACTGGGTTCTGTGCTCTTCCTGGAGTCAACACAGCCTTTTGTGTTATATGTATACTTAATTGAAAAATGTGTTCTAATCTCTTAGATTTTGACAGAATGGTTTGGGTTGGAAGGGACCTTAAAGCTCATGCAGTTCCAACCCCTCTGCTATGGGCAGGGACACTTTCCACTAGACCTGGTTGCTCCAAGCCCCATCCAGCCTGGCCCAGGGATGGGGCAGGGATTAGGCCTTGGTTTGACAAGCACTTGGACTCATGCTCAGTCCCAGTGAGTCTGTTCAAAGACAAGTGTGAGGCCCTTGTGGGATGGTGCTTTCAGGTACTCAGCTTCGCTTTGCCAAATCCGTAGATGTTCCATGTTGTGTGTCAACACTTGTATGACTTTGAAACACAAATTAAGTAATATTTATTATAAAATTTCCTTGTTGAATGAAATTAAAGATAGTTTGGGAAGTGGTTTGTTATGTACATCACTTTATAATGAAAATGAAGAAATGTGCATTTTAAGTTTTACAGGCTAGTTAACCAGATCAAGAGTGTCCACAAGGAGGCAACATTCTCGTACCTTATTATTTTAAATACTGAAACTGTTAAATCCATAGAGAAAAGCTTTATTTCTTCTCTTCCAGATGTCTTATGTTTCTCCTTTATGCCTTGTGGTAGGGTTTGGAATGACCTCAAGTGTTGGATCAAGTCTCTCCAGTAGCTGTGCAATAGGACAAGAGGGCACGGTCTTAAACTGTGCCAGGGGAGATTTAGGTTGGATATTAGGAAGAAATTTCTTACAGAGAGAGTAATCAGACATTGGAATGGGCTGCCCAGGGAGGTGGTGGAATCACTGTCCCTGGAGGTTTTTAAGATGAGACTGGATGTGGCACTTAGTGCCATGGTCTAGTAACCACGGCAGTGTTGGATCAAGGGTTGGACTTCATGATCTCGGAGGTCTTTTCCAACCCAGTTGATTCTATGATTGATTCTATGAATATGCCAAGCTTTATGCTTCTGCTTACATGTGCTCTATTTTTTCTTTCAAGTTTTGGGCCCCTTCTCTATCCCTCACTTGAATTCTGCTGGTTTGAATCACATTCATGAATCACAGGTGCTTGGAACCGAAGCCTCTCTGTCTGATTTCTGTGGTCATACATGTCCTGGATTGAGTCCTGTGTCACACAGGCAGTTGGTGCTAAATACCTCCTGCACAATTTAGTGGAGATCTCCTATTTTTGTTTCCTCCCCCACCCCATGTAAGCAGGCTAAACAGAGGGGCCCAAGGGGAGTGATGTTCTCCAAAGTCCGTATTCCAACAAGGAAATTTGCACTTCTGGTATCTTTATGCAGCCCATTAGCTCTGCTCAGATATCCCACCTCTGAAACTTTGAACTGGCTACAAAGCAAAGTCTTCTGCAGGTTTGCTTAAATTGCCAATGATCCCTGTTTGTATTTCAGAAACAAGTTCAGGCCAACGTGTGTATTAATATGGAGATGGTGAAAGACGCGTTGGAGCAGCTCCGAGGGGCTGTGATGATTGTGTATCCAATGGGATTGCCTCCACATGATCCAATTAGGATGGAGTTTGAAGATAAAGAAGACTTGTCAGGAACTCACGTATGCAGTAACGTATTCCCATTCTATGTAGTCCCTGGGTTAAACTTGTGCTATGTTGTTCTCCATCGTATCAATGAAGGTTGTTTTCACTTGCATTACAAATTTTGTTTAATATTTTAGTCTCACAGTTAATGTAAAAACACACCAATAGCTTAACTAGAAATAAAATTATTGGAGTTTATTTCAAATGTTGCATACTCAGCACTCAGGTAAGTCTGGATCTCATTTTAAATAGCTTGTCACCTCCAGTATGGAGAGCTGATTGCCCAAAGTATTCACAGGAGATCAAGATTGAATGGAATATGAATGAATGCCATAGATGAGCATGAGGAGAAAGATGTAGCAGAAGTAGGTTTTGAAAAAAAGCAAGAAACAAATAGAGTAAGAAACAACACCCCTAACACTTCACCTTGTTTGTATGTCACAGGCTGGACTTGAAGTTATAAAAGAATCAGAAGCACAGTTATGGTGGGCAGGAAAGGAGTTGCAAGAAACAAAGTTGCTGTCTGACTATGTAGGAAAAAATGAGAAAACAACCATCATTGTCAAGATCCAGAAAGTGAGTATTGCTAGGAGATGTCTGTATAAGTTCTTCACCTTTGGCTGTCTGTACTCTGTGGAAGAGAATTGTCCATAGGTGTCTAAAATGGATTATATTAGTCCTGGCTTGAGTGTCTTAAAATGGCACATCTATTTTAAGGTTTGAATTTATTATATTCCAAATTTTTCTTTAGTAATTCCTTTGCCTGTCAGTTACATCCTGTAACTGCTATTATTACTTGCTCCATAGCACTTTTGTGAAGTACAATGAAGAGGTATTTAAAAGTAGATGAAATACAAATTGAAAAGTTTTGTAGCAAATCTTGTCACCTGCAGGTGTCTGCAGTGCATCCCTTGGAGATAAGTCAGGTGATTTATGTGTCTGTCATTTAGAAGACCAGAATTTCTTTCTCTTTCCTCTCAGGGTGACTGAAAAACAGTGTGGCAGCTTAACAGCCACTGAGGTGTAGGCTCCCAGGGAAGTTGCCCGTTTAATTAGTTGATGGACCTCTTCAGAGGATGCGGAGTAGTGCAAGGGTTTCTCTCTGCCTAAACTATCTCAGACACTTTTTGTTCTAGAGATCATTAGCCTTTTCCATGGAAGCTGCTCTGCTTGCTATTGCTGACAGTAGCTGTCACCAGCTGTTTTCTTCTCTGTGCATCATTTCTTCCAAGAGGACAATTACCTGGAAAATAAATTTTCTTTTATTTGTAGTATTTCGTAACTCCCTTCCTTCCCTGCTTTACTAAGTATTATGCCATCCTGAGTCTGTATTAGTAGGGGAGCTAAAGATAGATGGGCCTATCCTGAGATATCTAGAATGACCTTGAAACAGATTTATTGTGTCTTTTAAAGTGGAAATTTAAGTAAACTAGACTCAATCCTGTTTGCATCTTCCACTGATGTCCGCAGAATTGACAGCATGACTCAGATGCTGAGATGAAAAAATAACCCTCACTTGAAAAAACAACCCTCACTTTCCTGTGAGGGTGGTGAGGCCCTGGCACAGGTTGTCCAGAGAAGCTGTGGCTGTCCCATCCCTGGAAGTGTCCAAGGCCACATTGGACGGGGCTTGGAGCAACCTGATCTAGTGAAAGGTGTCCCTGCCTATGGCAGGAGGTTGGAATTAAATCATCTTCAAGGTCCCTTCCAACCCAGACCATTCCGTGATTCTATGAATGCAGCAGCATTTGTTCTTCTGTCCTGAGGGACCTTATTAAATTTGAGAAATCCTGTTGTCTGAAGGAAGGTTTTTGCTATCTGTGTATAGCTTTTTGCTATCTTTTGAAGTTTTTGCTATCTTTGCAGCTTCTACTTTGTCTCACAAATGCCACCAACAGTAACATCTACCATTTCCCTTCCAGAAAGGACAAGGAGCTCCAGGGCGTGAGCCTGTGATTAGTCATGAAGAGCAAAAAGAGATGATGCTGTATTACTACAGAAAGCAGGAGGAGCTGAAGGTGAGTGTCTCTTTGGTGCTTCGGAGCTGTTGGAGCCTGGGCTGTGTCCCTCACTGCCTTCCTCTCCTCTCTGTTTACAGAAACTGGAGGAGGATGACAACGACTCATTTCTAAATGCTGAGTGGGCAGACAACCATGCTTTGAAAAGGCAATTTCATGGTGTAAAAGACATCAAATGGGGTCCAAGATGAAGCTCTGCAAACCCCTTCTTAAGCTGTTTGGTCAATACTCTTGTTTGCAGAGAGGATTGTGTGCAGTAGGTTCTTCTGTCAGAAGCTGAAATTGTCACTTCTGTAGCCTTGGGTGTTCAATAAAAGTTGACATGTCTCTGTAACTCCAGCAGCATTTGTCTCTTCAAAGAATTGAACCAATTCTCTTGAAGTTTTGTATTTTATTAGAAACTTGTAATTTGAATATTGAAATGTTAATCCATTTCCTAGATAACAGATCTAGTAAATATGCACTGGAATGTTTGGTGTTGTTTGGAGTCGTCTTTATAGCTTCTTCTTAATCTTGCATTACTATTAGGTGGTGTGCCCTGTAACAGGTAATTTATTTTATGAGAAATCAGTTTTCCCAGGCTAATGCAGGGAGAGTTAATGATTTTTATATGCTCATTCAAATTTCAACATAGCTAATTCCAAACTATAATTTTTTTTAATTGAGTTAACCTCTCAACAATTTTTTAAAGGAAGTATTTTTGTATAAAGACAAATAACACAAAAATCCTTGTGGAATGCATAATTTTAATTCATTTGCTTTAGTTTTCATTGCTGGTATATAAAGGTTGACAGAAATCTATATACAAAAACAAGCGTCATTTGCAAGTAGATTGGATAAATAAAACCATATTTAATAGGACATGATCTCTAAGATATAAGTAAATAATTATTTTCTGTATTACTGTGGTCAGAGACAGATCAAGTTAAAACTCTCAAGTGTTGGCTGAACTCACAGCTGGAAGACTGGATGCAGAAAAGATAATGCCATTCAGTGAACTATTAATGGTGGTTTTACTTCAATCATTGATTTTATTTTTTTTTTTTACTCTTACAAAAGTTTGGTGTCTGGTAGTTTTTGTTGAACCTCAACTTTCCAGTACCATGGTGTTATACAAAAAAAAAAAAAAAAAAAAAAAATCTGCATGTGGGATTTTTCAAAGTTGCAGAACTTGCCCTGTACAGCTCTGGGGATTTTTAACCATTCCCATAGCTGAAAGCTTTTTTTCCTAATGTGCTCCTTTGTCCTCATCAAAGAGTGGAGTGAAGAAAATCTGGAAATACTTAATTCTTAATGTCACTGGCACTGTAACCCTCAGTGGTATGGTGGATGTTTGTGATCCATAACTGGGATGGGGAACACTCAGTGAAATCACCAGAAAATCACAGTTTGTTATAAAGGTTGTTGGTCACCTGGTCCAGCTCCTGGTCAGTCCTGCCCACATTGCTGGAAGTGTTGCTGTGGCTTTTAAGGAGATTTCTACAGATTCAAACCCTCTCCCCTCTCCCTGTTGTGCTATCCATAGTGGTTCCATGGGGATTTGTATGAATGCTGTCTGTTCAAAACAGGTTCTGCCTTGAGTAATTCTTTTGTTTGGACAACTATATGGAAGTGCTTCAATAAATAACCCAAATGACTTTGTAGATTAATGACTTAGGGTTGTTACACATTTGTTTTTCTCTTTCCCAGCAACTTCCTAAAATATTTACATCCTTTTGGCAGCCAGAAAAAAATGTAATGCTGTTTATGAGCTTTTAAAGCAGGTTGTGAGGCAGCCTGGCACTTTTTGTGTACGGGGGGGAGTTAAAGGGAGTTACAGCTCTGCTTGTGACAACAGTTCCCCTCCCTAAAATCTCACCTCTGTTTAAGGAGCTGGCTGAGGGCATCTGGGTTTTGTCCTGCCAACCTGGGAGGGAGATTCCCAAAAGATGGACTGTCCATATGCTCCCCAAGGTGGAGATCTGCACCAGGGCTGGGGCTTGCAACATGACCTTAAGCCAGTGGTGCTTGTTTATTGGAATTTCTGCACCCCAGAACAATTCCTTAGCAAGATTACTTCTTTGTCTGCTCCTCCTCATTTGAAAGTATCTTTTTTAAGTTACTTGTTCATAACTGCCTTGAGCTTTGTGGCCTGGGCAGGGAGCTTCCCAGGTGTTTTGAATCAGTTACAGTAAATGCTTGAAAATATCCGACTGAATCCCTCTCACCAGTAGAGCTTTCATCTTTGATTAGCATTGTTTGAGGAGTTTGTTCTGGGGGCTCCCAGCCCTTTAAATACTGATGTCATTGCTGGCTTTTGGCCATTGAATTTATTGTCCTTGATACCAGGAAAATATTCCATAGCAGAGGAGGCAGAGTGAAATAATGGAAGGAGTCAAGAAGTCTGGTTATCTGTCCAAGACTTGTTGAGAGTTACTCTGTCAGGGAAAAAGAGACTTTAAAATTACCATTGGACAGAGGATTCTGAGAGGGGGGATGTTTGAACAGGACCTTTGATTATGGAGCTTACAATATTCTCATCTCCTTTCTAAAAGTGAGGGCAAAGCAGACATAGGAAAATCCATTTTATTCTGTACACCTTTGACTGATGTTCTCTGCTGTAATTGGTGCTGTTTTCTTCTTTAGCTGAGAAAACTTTCCGTAAGATCCGAGTTTTTACCACAGTATTTGTGGATCTGCTGGATTCATTTATTATGGCTGAAATGGAATGAACTCACTGCAAAAAGATTGAAGACTTCAGGAACCTGGGAAAGCCTATAGGTATTTTAACTATCCAGGGATTTTGAGATGATGAGACAGAAACACCACACGGAGTTTGCATATTTTCTTTTAAACTGTTTATTTCTGGAAGTTTGAGAGCAGCTGTGCCCTTCCAGAGGGAAAACCCATTCTTTGTCAAAGGACATGCAGAGTGGAATGTTGCTAAAATGTTTGTTCTGTGGCCATATCACCATCCTAATGAATGGAAGTGGTTTCCAGACCTAGTTTCACTCCTTTTCTCCTTTTCAGTTTTGCTTTCCCAGGTTGTCCCAGGCTCTGCTTTCACCTAGGATTCGGAAGGATTTATTTACTGCTTCCTGCAACCTCACCCAGGGATTCCTGGTGACAAACTCAGGGTATTTTCAAGGCAGGAGTGGGGAGTTTGAACAGCCATGCCAACATTGCACGTTGCCTTCCAGCAAGTTTAGGTGTTGATGTCATTTCATGTCATTTCCAAAGGCATGTTATTCCCACAGCCACGTGTGTGGCACAAACCAAATAAGTCCATAAAACCGCCAGCTCTCCTCTGCAGTATTTTCTCCTTAGGCTGTTCTTCTGGGAAGTTGCAGGGATTTTACTGCTGTAACTCCATCCAGCCCTGAGTGCCCTCCCTGTAGCGCTGCTGCTGCTGCCCCATGGCACCCTCCCAAAAGATACCTCTGAGGAAATGGATTCCAGCTATGGTACTTCTGCTGGATTTTTCAGGGCTTGGGGCAGGTAAGTACATTTCTCATTAATTCTCTAGTTTCTCTACTGGATGCTTTTTTTGCAGAGGGTGTTTTTTCAGAAAGATTGAAATAACTTCTGTTTCTCAGGCTTTTCCATGTTTGTCTTCACTCTGACTTTCAGACTGCTGTGAACAGTGAACATTTGGGAATGAGGTGAACCACTAATTGATAGCTTTCCCCAGTTAGACTTGGAAAGTTTATGCAGAAAGAATAAAATAGCAACCCAAATTCAGACTATAAATAGTTCAGTCAAAGGAACAAATCCAGAGTGAAGCTTGACCTCCCAGCCTGGAGCAAAAGCTGCTTTCCCTACCCTACTGAGTTGCTCCTGGTGCTGGACTTCTGACAGGTTTTGTCACCATGTCTGAGGATCCATTTAAACAGGTATGCATTACTAAGCACTTTTTTTTTTTTAATTCAAAACAGATTCCCAGAGACTGTGGAATGCTCCATATTGGGAAGGAGGCACCTGCAGGAATCTTTTACTGTGCTCCTCCTGTTGTGGAGCCCAGCCCACTCTCCACAATCCAGTTGGATCAGTAAAAGGAAGAGGATAGGGTTGTTTTGACTAGTACGATCTGTCAGCAGGAGGAATTGTTGATCAGTCCCTTTCTGTCTGACTGGGAAATGGGTGGCACCTGCCCCATGAGTCAGGAGGAAGGAGCCAGCTCCTGCCCAGAGCTGTCCTACACCTCCCCACAGGGCCAGGCAAAGGCAAACCCACCTTCTTCACCCTCAGGACCAAGGCACGGGGTTCTCCAGACAAAAATCTGTTCATCGATATTGTGCCATAGCACAGGCTACAATGACTTTCTGTGGGGAAGGGGAGAGCAGTCCCAGCGGGAGTGCAGCCAGAATCCTGGGCTGTGCCTGCCTCTCCTGCAGTTTCCCAGTGCTCTGAGTGACCTCAGCCCTCAGTCCTCTCCTCAGCCTTTCTTCCTTCCTCTGATAGGATGCTAATTGCTGCTGAGATTTTTCCAGCTGAGCACGGGATTGTGCCTTAGTCATCTGAGCAAGTCCCCTTCCTCCTTTAAAGTTTTCTCAGGCTTAATTTGACTTTGTATCAGTAGGAAATGACAAGTCATGTCAACTCTTTTCTTTCCAAGTGTTTCATACTGCTTGGCTCTACCTGGACACGCAGCGTCTGAGCAGGGAAGCAGAATGAACCCATGAAGTATTCCCAACAGGAAGTGACATTTTTCCTCCTTTTGTTCAGTAAATTCCCTATGGGCTGCAGCTAAAATATTGGAGACATTTTAAAGACAGGAAGCAGAACTTAACCCCCTTGTAATCAGAATCACTGTTACCAGAGGAATAGGGTTTATTAGGGAAAGGTTGAGTTAAGGAAACGGCAGAAAAGCTTCAGGAACTTGTGTTTAGTTTTGCTTTGTCCTGCACATGCCAGTAATAATACTCATATTTCTCATCAATAGAGGAAGTTTTGATGTAACTTATGAGCTGCAACACCCTAACTGGTTACAAGTGCCATCTAACACAGAAAGTATTTCTCCATGTGATGCTTTTTTCCACTTTTTTTAATATTCCTTAACCTGCACGTGGCAGTTGATCCCAAATTACAGTGAAAAGTAATCCATAACATGAATTAAAACTATGAAAGTGTTTTTCAAAGAAGTATTTATAGACAGTCAAGGGTATGAAACTCTCTGTTTATTGCATGTATTTTATCTTATTTTACAAATAATTACATGGATACAAATGTTCCTTCACAGAAGGTACATTTCTTTTTTTAAAAAAAAAAAAAAGGGCTAGGGCATCATCCAAAATAAGCCATTTATTGTTCATTAATATAAAATGTATTCATATTTCTAGGAGGTGTCATATCCACACCACTGTTCATCCAGATTTCTTGTATGATCTGCTCCCTGCGCTCAATCCTTTCTGCCAGTTCTGCCGCCTCTGCCAAATTATATCCTGAGTAAGAAGGTCTGTAAAGTCCATCTATCTCATCCTGGGTGTCCAAAAGGGAATTCTCCTCCTCCTCCTGTTCACTGTTCTCGTACACTCTGGCACTCTCTGGCACCAACCGCTCCTCCTTCCTGTGTAATTTCCGGATGTCACTTGGGCACCACCCACATATCACCAAGGCACACAGTGTGAGGATTAACCCCACACAAATGCTGGACACAAACAGGAGAGCAGCTCTTTCGAGGTGATCTGCAGGCAGAAAGCCAGGGCTTAAACACTTTACAAACCCTGCCAAGGCCTGGCTACCAATCCCAGCTGCCATTTCTGCAGCATTCCATAGCCATAATGGTGGGGAATCAGGGCTGAGGGGAAGCTTTTCCTGTCAGGCACTCAAACCTCCCTGCACTCACTGCCATCTCTGCCTCTTCTTTTGCTGGGCAAAAATCCCAGCCTGATAATATCATTACAAAATAACAACAAATCCCATCTCTTTATGAGCAGCTCACTGGTGTTCCTAACCAGCTACCAGAATTCTGCATGCCCTTTTTGTTTTTTCCAGGCATCCTGCCAAAATGGGCCTTACCATCACTGCTCCTTGATGATCCCTGTATGTGTACAACCCAACATTCCCAAACATGCATGTCTCCAGTGCTGCTCACAGGTCAGGGCCAGGTTTTTAAAACTACTGAACAACCGACAGTCCCCATTGAAAATATGCATTAAAATATATCTTGGCTGCAGTCTGTAAAAGAGTTTGGATCCTTCAAGATGGGAAATATTCCATAAATATCAATTATGCTGTGATTTTCCCATCCACAAGATTGATTATATTCTAATAATATCGTTACCATCAACTGGGATTACTAGTTATGACCTTCAGAGGTGATCCTCCCTTTTCCCAAAATGTGCACCAAACAGTCTCAGCCTCATTTTCCTACCTCTGATGTATGCAAATGTAGCAAGGTAGTTAGAGCTAAGAATAATTCCATCTTTCTTTGGAAGTCTTGATTCCTTTGGATCGAAGTCAACACCTATGACACAAGGAGGTAAAGCAAATTCAGTGACGCTACTAAACTGTTATTCACCCAATAACTTTTCAGCCAACAAGTCCACCCAGAATGCAGGCAGGCCTAGGCCATGCTGCAGGAGCCTTGCACAACATTAAACCAAACAACGGTTGGTAAATTAAATAAAGTATAATTAACAAAGCGTTGAAAATACTGAGCATTTAGAAAATGGCAAATTCATTTAAAAGAATTACTACCAACTGAAACCCTTGTGCCTATTCCTATTGGGGTTTCCGAAATAATTTTAGTTCCTGAAGCTTCACAGCTTTCCAATGGACTTCCCAGCCCAAGGACTGCTGTGCGCTGTGTTACTGAGGACAGTGCACACACATGAGCCACCTCCTTAACTCTGTGGCCTTCAAGAAGAGCAGGTGTTGGCATAACTCTTAAATTATTCACCCTGTGAAACAACTGCAGTCTCACTTTTACTCTTCCCAGAAATGCTGGTTGTGGGCAGGCTGGGCGGGTCACTCCTCTCACAGCATTGCTGTGGCTGCAGGGCTGTGCCCGTATCCCACTCCCAGCCTGTCCTGCTGCCCTCCAAGGGAATGAGCAGCTGTTTCAGCAGGGTTTCCACTACCTCATGCCTCAGATGAAGCTCTGCAGTGGGAAAATGTCCTGTTTCAATCAAAGACAAAGGGAAGCAGCAAACCCTGTGTCTGTGATGGTACGTACCATCATTCTGTTTTATGGAAGACTTGTTATCAGGGACCCCGGGGTTGACAGCCATGAGGATAAATTTAGGAACTGCAAAGACAAAAGACAAATCGTGTACTGTTATTTTTAGGAACCCTCTCCCCAGTTAATTACTGTGAACAGCCCAGGCACCACCCCCCTTGTTTTCAACCTCTCAAGGGGTGTGCCAACCCTGGATAGGAGACAAAATTGGCCTATAAATTCAGGATAAAGCGTGCTACAGTCAGATGCTAAGTTGCATCTAGATACTGGGTTTGGATAATTCACTGTAATTCTCAGATAAATGTTTAAAGTCTTGTGTGATGTCCTCTGCAAAGCCTCTGGGATGGAAGGTGGGGAGGATGGGAATAGATGAGGTAGGTGGGAGTGGGCTGCATCCTTCTCACTTCATTAATTTATTCCCTTGATAAGTGTTTGCAGTCTTCTTGAAGTAATTAAAAGAGCTAAAGGCGGGTGCATTGTGCAGACATTGAGGGTTCATATATTCTGTGATGGGTGAATGGGCCCTTCAGACACCCAGATCTTGGCACCTGTTCCTGTACTGTGTGAAGATTGATTGATTGATTTTCAGACTGATGTGAAGGGGGGGGAAAAAGGAACAAATTTCAAGTATGAACCTCACCTCTATCCCACACAGAAACATTTGCCAATAAATAGTGTTGAGAGAGTTAAATGGCACAGAGGAGACTGAGGTTTGCAACTTATCATAGTTTTCATTTGGAAAACAACTAAGAATAGGATTTTTTTTCTAAGCAGAACTTTTCTTTCTGTAGGGGCTCAAAGTCAGAGCTGCTTCCTTTCCTCATGATGGAATATTTTTGGGACTCTTAGCTCCTGTTTGCAGTGGAAGGCCAACAGAGATAGGGGAGAATGAGCTCATTTCTATTTTGGCTCGTCCCTCATCATAATTCTTTGCTGTTTTCCAGCGGCAGAACACTTTCCTTGGTGTGTGGGGCAGACAGGGAGCAGGATGGATTGTTTTCAGCCTGCACTCTGGATGTTCTGAACAAGTAAGTGCCTGTGTTGGGAACAACCTCCTGGGAGGATGCACCGTTCCAGTGCCCATGCGGGACCTGAAGCTCCCCTCACATGGCCTGGGACTCCTTCACCTGTGCTGATGTTTCTTCTGCCCCCATCCCAGGGGGAACTTCCCAGGGCTTTGCTTGTTCCTTACCCCCTATGCTATTCAAACATTTGTTGTAGGGAAATGTTTAATTCAAAAAAAGCTCCTAGCTGCTTGCGTTGCTCCTTTTCATTATGAGGACTTTTAACTTGGATAGGCTGCACCAGGTTGCTGAATGGAGTAGCTGGTACCAGAAGTGGAATTTTAATCAGGATAATCACATCAGTACTACAACAGCAGTACTTTGTCAGGTAGAGTGGGAGTCAGTCACCAAAGGCAGCCGACAGACAGACTCTGGCATCCAGGGAGTGTGGATGCACCGTGGGGCATCAGGAGCCCTGAGAGAGCATTCTGTGACCCTGAAGCCCAGTCTCAGCAAAAGCCAGGAATGCCACCTCGGGCAGACAGGAGATGCTGCTGAGCAGGTCATCGGGGGACACTGAGACTGCGAGAAACCAGCACCACCCAGCTCCTGTGATGCTTTTGCTGTCAGGAATTAACTGCGAAAATAAAACTGCAGCCAGACACACCAGGCCTAAACAGCTCCTGACCACTGTGGTGGGGAGTTAACGATTTTTTTTCATGTTCCTGACCATGATGGAAACATTTTCAAGTGTGGCACAGCCTGTGGTCTGGTCTGCTGTGCTCCTGTCGCTTCAGGGGGAGGCCTATTGGCATTATCTTGGGAAGCATCAGGTTAGCAGGGATCTTCTAGTGAGGAGAAGGAATGTAAAATGTCATTCTGGAATATGCCCAAACTCTTCCCATGTTCATTAGATGATCTGTGAAATAATCAGATCTGCAGATCATTGGCTAATGCTTCAGATTGCACAGCTCAGTAGGATTTGGCAGAAGAAAAACTCCCAAATGTGCCAGCAACACACAAGAACACTATTTATTACGCATGTGTTTTGCAAAACCACTTCCCTAAATAAAAGAATGCATAACTCCAGTGCAAACAAACTCGCTCTGCTTTTCTGGTGCACAGACGTGCAAGAAGGAACAACTTGTTGTAATTATCCTCACGCTAATTAAAGAGGATTCTGTTAACCCATTCGTGAAGGGAACTGCACAATAATATAACATATTAGTGCCCTCTCCAGCAATAGAAAGCTGAATTACTGCACTGCCTCTCACAACCAACTCACAGGCAGACTGAAAATCTCCCATGCCAGCAAGGAAGCAGCTAAGGCTCATTTTCCTCTGATCTTCAGGTTCATGGTGATTTGGCCATCAGTCCTACACTGCTGTTCCTAAAAACCCATGCCCTTTGACTACTTCTCACTAGACATGCAGCTAAAGGACTCTGGTGTGTCCCTGTGGAGCTGCTCCTGTTGAAGAATTGTAAGGAATTCTGCTCTTCCCTTATGAAAATATATTAGTCTATAGCAAACAATATGGAAAACTGTTCCCTCTTGTCCAAGGAATGAGCTGAAATAGGCTTCAGTCCTGCAACAGATGTATAACCTCAAGCCCTTACTCTTCATGAACCTTTAGTTCCCTGTGCAAGGGAGAAGCTGTAGGTGTGCTCACGTGAATCAGGTTTCAGGACTGGGCTTGTGCACAGTCCTTCAATTATGCTGAACTGCTTTACCTGCACAAATGCCAGACAATGCCAGGTTATTTTTCCCAGCTCTGTTGCAGGTGAATTCTATTGAATTCTATTGAATTGTAATTTTGATAGTATTTCTCAAAAGAAACTAAATATCTACTTTATATTTTATTGTCAACTGCATTTTATGTAGGGAAAAAACCCTTAATGCCTGAGTTTTCATTAGATACAGCTCTTCCTATGGGGTTGTTCACATATTTTGGTGGTTCTTGTATGGCTGTGTCACAAACTTCCTATATGAAAGGGTAGGGGAGATTTAGAAAGGCTCAGTGTCCAGATGTGTGTTTGTCATAGTTTTGCTTTGCAAGCAGAATGAGGCTTTAAAAATGATGGTGCCTTTGCTCTTACCACATGCATAGCTGACAGTGAGGGATTTTGTCACTCCAGGAAGGCATGGGCTCCCAAAATCCTGGCTACTGACAATGATTTTGCATCTCTGCTTCCCAGAACACCTCTTTGATAAAACCTCCAGCGCTGTGTAAGACAAACAGTCTGAAAGAAAAATACATACAATAAATACAAAACACTGCTGTTACCTGAAATGAGAGCTGCTGGATGCATGACTAGAGATACAAATCTGATCTCGGGCATAAGTTTGTCCAAGCAGGATTTCAGAGTTAAATGTTAAGATCTGTCCATGCAGGGAAGTCAGCTGCAATGAAAATGTGAACTTGCAGCAAGGTAGCTCTCCCATGTTGACTTCCAGGTGTAGTAGGAGTCATGTTGAGCTCCAAAGGAACGCCCAGTATGAGGTGTCTGTGTTCCCTTCATGATATCTTGGAGGAACTAAGTACATCCAAACACCATTCCATCTATTCCATCTCACGACAGGTGTGCAAATCAAGGGAGATGAAATGCTGTTTGCAAGTCTTTCTCTTGGCCTCTGGGTTATTGCGATGAGTCAACTGGATGCCTAGTTTCAGTTCAACTCAGGTGAGATCAATTTTTGTGTCACAATAGCTCAGGCTACAGGGAAGTTTGAGGTATTAAAAGTGAATTTTGATTTATTATGAAGAGGTCAGAATGGGCTCAATATTTAGCCAGGGAAACATGTGGCAGCCAAAAATGGATTTTGCACTGAAACTGAAATCATTTGAGTGGGAAGATGTGTGAGTTACACTCTGTTTAAAAAAAAAAAAAGAAAGAATGTCTCTAAATGTGATTAAATTCCTGGTATCGACATGTGCTAAACTCCAAGCCACAAAGCATAAATGCCCCTTTAGTTTGGTTTCCAAACAGAAAGGATGCAGAAATTACAAGTCTGGAGCAAGTAATTTTTCTGAAGCTGCTGCTTTCAGTCAGCATCACCGCAGGCATTTTGTGGCTTTCTGTGCATGACAGGTATGTCTCACTCCAGGCTTCTGAGGCAAGGGCACTCTGAAGGTCTGAAAATAAAGTACTCTGGACATTAAAACAGTCCCTCTTTCTCTAATAAAGGATGGCATCTGGTCACCTTCCAACAAATGCTGAAGCTCATTTGTGCCTCTTTAGAAGAAGGACAGTGTTTGCAAAAGCACTCCAGAGGTTCCCCAAATCTGAAAAGAAGTGGAGGTTTGAGATTGAGTTCTTGACAAAGAAAATTGACATTTAATGTGTGAAAATGGTGCAGATTTGTGATTTTTAGAGTTAATCCCCTGACACCAACACTAAATAAGTCATATACCTGAGCAGAGCCATCAGGAGATACTGGGCTGATCCGTCTGACAAAGGCCTTGCGGGGTACTTTGGACATGGATTTTTCGGAGAGCAACTCTTCATTTGGCTTCTCAGAGACCTAAAATCCCAATGCCTGTGTGTCCCAAGAGGTTGCTGGAAAGGCAGGGAAGGCTGACCTAAAGGATTGGGCAGTTCTGATTAAGTAACTCAGCAGTTTTAGCTCCCCTCCCTGGTGATTTCAGATGAGTAAGGATATATTTGCGTGGACATTTTAGGCAGCCAGTAGCTTACTTTGGCAAGTGCAAAAACAACAGGAGAGTATCAGGAGCAATTATCAGGTGACTCATAGATGAATGGATTGGGAGCACAACAGCAAACTGAATTATGTTTTCTACAGAATTTCCTGCCCTGGGAGATACTCTTTGTGCCTTATAAAAACAGGAGGCTGCTGTGCTGATGGTTTTCTACAAATTCAGTGATATGGCAAGTACATGTTTCATTTTGCCTTTGGTAGATGTTTGCTCTTGTTTCTGTGGGAGTTTATAGCTTCTTATCTTCTCTATCCATGTTGGATTTGGCTCCTCTACCTGGGGAGCCAGTTGTCATATGCCTGCAGGCTCTTGGCAGGCCCATTTTTGGAGAACCTCCCAGGGATTGCCTGGTGTCACAGGTGAGTAAATGCAAACTGGTTGCATGGCTGGTTTGCTTTTGCAGGACACCACAGGAGTTACCTGGTAAGTCCTACAACATAAAAAAAACTATTTAACAACTTCCTGCATTCTAAAAATATTTTGGTTTTTAGTGATTCAGTCAAAAAATGTTCTTTTTTTTTTTTCTATCTGGTTTATGAGCATCCTTGCTGCCTTCCCGCTAGCTCTCCCAGCAGCTATGATGGGAATGACTTGAATAACTTATCCTCCTAGTCAAACACCTTATTCCAGTGGCTGAATGAGGAGAGGACTCATTCAGCTCTGCATCTTGAGTAAAGTAGTCCCACAGAACAGCCCCAAAGAAAGCAGCAATGGGGAGATGAACATAAATACGCAGAGTGGCTTCTTTCTGGCTGTCCAAGTGCTGCTTGAGCTGCACGTGCCTGTGGGGCTTGTTAAACTGGTACCATCCATTTACAATAAACTGCCTCTCGAAAGGCACATTCCCAGCATGCTAAAAAGGCTGGTGGCATCCAGTGGTGGACAGGGCAGCGACATGGGGCTGGGAAAACACTCCATTCCTCACATCTCTCTCCCAAAGTTGCCGAGCCTGTTGGTGGATCTTTTGTACCAGACACCGCTGTGGATGGCACGGGTGTCAGGATGAGGTTCTTAGTGCAGTAATAAACCATCAAATCTGACTGCAGCTATTTAACAGTTGGAGTAGAAAGCCTTGTTTCTGGAGGAAAGGCTCTTTCAGCTCCCTAATTAGCTTTGTTTGGGAAAGTTTTGGCATGCAAATGACACGCTATAAATCATGCAGGTTTTAATGAGAAGCAATTTGTCTTCTGGTTTCTTAAAAGCTTTTCTCAATTCAGACAGGAGGAGCTTTCCCTCCCTTTCTTTCCGCCCTGCCACACAAGACCTGCAGATAGGTGATGGAGCATCTTGTGCCAAGCTCTGGCAACAGCATCCTGTCCCACCCTCTCCAAACATTTCCAGCTGCCCTGTTCTCCCACATCACAATGCACAGGGTGAGCACTGGGACGGGGAGGGCAGGGGATGTGTCTCAAATGTGGATCCACATGACATAAGAAGTAACAGGCTGGTGAAGGACCAGGGCACACAAAAAAAAAACCCTCCACAATTTGTCACCCTGACACTGAAGCCCAGCTGCTCCTTGCTTTCATCCCCAACTGCTCCTTATGCTGATTTATGTGTCCTGGGCTGTGCCCACCCCTAGAAGAATAAGGAGCTCGCTTTTAAAATCAACTGAAAGCAAAGATTTCACACCTCCAAATCAGGATGGCTTGTGCTTTGTGGAGCCCAAATATCAGCTCTCAGGATAAGAACTGACAAGGGAAAGCTGTGGAGTTTGGAGCAAGCTACGGCTGCAGACTCCTAAAGAAAGTTACCATAATACTATGGTAATTTATGCAAGAGCATGGCACACAGGGTTCTGCCTGTGCATCAGAAAAGGGCCATTTGAACCGCTGATTCCAGCAGAAACACACAATATCGTTAGCACCACTTAGGAAAAGGATTGCTGATACCTTTATATTCCAGGTCCAAGTATTGTCAGTAAACGAGGCAGGATGATGTGCCAAAAATCCTACTTACTGATAGTGCAGGCCATTCCCTGGAAGTGAATCAAGGAGACTTCCTGAACAGCTGCACCCTTTCTCCCTCTCCCTGCAGTGCCTGTCCTGAGGCCCTGGAAGCCTGCAGGAGATTACCCCGTTGCCTGGTTTGATTTACAAGCAGCTCCAAGTTCAGAACTCAGTTAGTATTTTGTACAAAAAACCCCAAACCTGATTTTTCTCTCCTCCTTGCACATGCATGTGCAGAGTGGGGGATCCATCCCACCAACATCAAGGGCAAGGGACAGGTGGAGCTCCCCACTTTCTGGGAACAGCAGGAACCAAATTCCCTGCTCCTGCATGTGCACAGGCAGGAGTTCTAGGCTTGTTTTAAACTTGAGGGCCAAGTGTGTTTTTCCAAACAGTTAAAAAAATCTGAGCTATAAAAAACTAGACACAGGAAATCCCCTGAATTAATGGATGAAGTGATGTGCACCTCAGACTGCTTCAAGCACCTTCCAACAGCCAAATCTGACCTTCCCTGTTCATCTCAGCAGAAAGTTACTTGGACTTAAAAAATGGTGGCTGGTCTCTTCTTCCCTTCAAACAATCACTCCTCATCTTGCCACTGCTCTGAACACATCTTTTAAGGAAGTTTTGTCTTGACAAGATTTGTTGGGGCCAAGGGGTGTAATGGCTCCTGCTGGCACCTTTTGGGGCCCCAAACACCTACCTAGCTTCCCAGTTTCCTCAGGCTGACACAGACAAGGACCTTTTCACATCTGATGTGTGCACACAGAGAGAGCTGACTTCAGGTTTGTTGTGGTGGAAGCAAAATCCTTACTTTTATATCCACAAAATTCATTTGACTGCTGTCTCCCACAACTAAAGTGCCAAGGCAGTGTGTAAACATTCCCAGATCTGCCTACAGCCACTTGTGCCTTCACTGCAGTTATTTCTGCTCTCAGGAGACTTTCCCAAAGGACTGGCTCACACTAGGAAGAGAGAACAGAAATCAAAAGCTTTTCAATCACTGTCAGTGAATAAGAGATGAAAGGTCCTTTAAATTGTCCACAATACCGATACAAAATAAAAAAAAAAATTACAAAAAATCACAGCATCACAGAAACCTGTTATGTAAAAAAATTATGACACCTATGAACTAGAAAGAACCTGCAGGATTTTGAAAATCCCCCTTGTTTGTCTTGCTAACATCCCTTCCTCTTAGCTGAATCCCACTGGAAAGAGGGGATTAGGACAAAACCCAGCCCTAGGGTATGTCATGCCATGGTGCAAGCTGTGATGAGAGTGTGTGAATTCTCCACCTCCCCTCCCAGCCTCCCAAAAGTGGGACCAGGTACAAGAGAGGGCTGTGCTGGTCACTTGTGCTGGAGGGGATACACATCTGACCAGCCAATGCACATCCAGGTGAAATTTCTGGGAAGGATATTGCAGTGTTCTACTTGCAAGTTGCAGCTGGAGATGATCCACTGGAGCCTCCTATCAAGTATTTTCATGTATTAACAGGAGTAATTTATTATTTGAGAGGCGTTTGTTGACCTGAATCTTCCTTGTGCTCTCTATGGTAACCTGTTCTGGCGCAATCCTTTAACTTCTTCTGGCCAATACATTTTCTCTTTCCTCATGCACATGTTAGTACAAATGTAAAATAGATAATGGGTCAGAAAAGGCAACAGCTCACACAGGAACAAACTGCTATGTTTTCCTGCTTTGGTGCTGTGCACAAGAGATTCATCAAAGCAGAACCATCTGCTACAAAAACGCACCCAGAATTTTCTTGTAAAGTTTTTGATAATCTCAGTAAAACAGGGAAGTTGCTCTCTGGAAATTCTGTACAGTCTTATAAGTGCCAGGCATTTGGACAGCTGCAGAAGCTGGTTTTCACTATTGAACTGGTTCAGAAAACCCATTGCACAAGTAGGGAGTCATGTTAAACGTAAAACTGAGGGTCAGAACAGGTGCTGTAAGGATGGATTTATACACTCTATTTCCTACATGGAGAAGAGCCTTTAGGCTAAAGAAATTTTATGGTTTCTTGTGTTCCCTTTGAAGCAAAGCTCTGAAAATCTGTCAGCTGATTTGACCGGTAGCTCACGGAAAAGTGATGGTTCAGAACACATCTGTGCCAGCCCAAAGCTGCTGTTTGTCACTGCTTATCACATGTAACATCAGGTAAACAAGATCTAGAGTAGTATCTAATTAATTCAATACCCAGTACCCCTGGCAGGACCATACCAGGTGTGGAGAGATGCAAAACTTGAGCTCAACAGAGACTTCCTATGCCTGGCATTAGGACCTACAACATCCTAAAACAAAACTCTTTTGCATGGTGTAAAAAAACTGCCTCACAGTTTCTCTGTGATGCAGTGAAAGAACTGGAAAGGCTCAGGCACTGTCTTTAGGCTGAGAAGCACAAATGTGGGCAGAAACAACAACAAATGCACGATGGAGCCAATTTAGCTTTTGGTGCAAACATAAACAAGTAAGTGGGCTCTGATTCAGGAAGGAAGAGCAGCTAAAGTAAGTTTTCAAATTGTCTCAAGTCATTACAATCATGCTGACATTCAAATTACCATTGCTTTCCCTGAGAGAAAGGCAGACAGGCATTTCAGAAGTCTAATCATGCACCCACCCACATCAGTAGGTGCTTAAATAACCACATAAGATTTAAGCTCGAGACAGACAGATCTGGAGTCAATTGGATCTGGGTCCGAAGTGCCAAGTCTTTTGTGATAACTGAATGTGAACTCCCATGCTGCACAGGTGCTCTTGGAAATTCTACTGCCTGCACAGAGTCACTGGTACTGTGCAGGAAGAGGCCAAGCACCTGGAAAATCTATACAAGGATCTACCTTCTGTAGATCTACTTTGTGTTTGTCTCAGGTTTTATGCTCTCTCCTATTACCAGTGTCATGGGTTGCTTTATAGAACACAAAGCCAGCACCAGCCAGGGCATTGCTCCAGAAGTGCTTGTACACAGGGGCCACAGCAAAGCTTGTTGCTGTTGCAAATTCTTTCTCTATTTATCCTGGGAAACTTTATCCAGTAAGAAGGGTTGGCAGAATTCTGGTCTGTGAACTGTAAGTGCTGACATTAGAGGCGAGTGATTTTTAGAGGTGACTGAAGTGCAAGATATAAGTATGAACCCAAGCCTTTCTCGATAAGCTGAGCCATCTCTGCCCTGCCTTGTATCATAGACTGCCATGGTGAAGGATGTGTGGGTCTGTCAAAGACCTGCTAAAATGTATCCTCCACAGAACAGACAGGCAGAACTAAGTCTGTGTGAAGGCCCACACAAGGTGTGAAATACAGACCTGGCAATATTAAATAGATCCCTGTCTAAGAACAGATCATGATTTTCAGCCAGTGCATTTTTAATAGTATCTATGTAACTAAACAGAAACACTGGCTTGCAGACAAAGGGCTTTTAAGATTAATTATTGATCTCTTCTTGATGTTCAGAGAAGCTTCTCATAGATTACACTTGTAGTATGTTTCTTTGGAGCAATTCTCAGCCTTTGCACAGGCTGGCATCAGTCATACAAGCCCTTCCCTGTCTGGTACTAAGGGATTTGAACAGCACACACACCTTGTACTGGCCTTCTCCATGGCATGAAAATTTACCTTCATGCCTTCAGTGTCAACCACTGAACATATTAGTCAGTTCAGTACCACGTGCATAGGACATTCCTGCCTGCTGGACTTGGTGCCAAAGAGAAATCCCAGGCATATTTAATTTCCTGGTATACCACCACAGTCTTGGAGTTCAGTCATACAACAGCATCTAAGCAATGAACCCTGCCCTATGAGTCCTCTCCTTGCAGTCTGCAGCTAAGCCATGGAAGATCTGGCAGAAAAAGGGATCAGAGAAGAAGGGAGCAGTAAAACACGGTGTTAGGGTCGCCTGATTGATATCAGAAACTGGAGGAAGAAGAGAGGCAAAGAGCTGATATTTCGTGCACGTCACCTAAGTTCAAGACAGGCAACAGAACTAGTTTTTGACATTAATCATACTAAGGACTGATTAACTACATGAAAATTTATTACTTTGCTGCATTTCTTCCTCTATGTTCCTCACTCATGCTGGGCAATTCTTCTGCGTTTCAGAAATAATCTCTCTTACATTTCAATCACTGACCCTTTCAAAACACCATTGCTCTTGCACCTGAAGCTTTCTCCCAAATCTGTTTCCCCTCTTCTCTGTGCACCTGCTTGGAGAAGGTCTATGAGCAGTGTACAAACATACCAAAGGGGGGGATGTGCTCCGCCTCTGCCGAGCAGGCGCTCTCCTCCTGGGCCCATCTGCCATAGGTGGCCGAGTAGATGATAAGGAACTTGGATTCCTGGCAGTGGAGTTTCAGTTCCTGGTTCTCACATGCTGATTTGGTTTTGTATTCAGCTAAAGTAGAAGCAAACAGCAATAAGGCAACATGAGGCAATTTATTCAGCTGGGCTGTTAATAGTAAATAGCAGCGTGACAGAAACCAGCTTTTCTGCAACTGCTGTTGCGAGTGACATGTGGCACCAGTACAACAGAGACAGAGTCAATAGCAGAGCACTTCCTCCAACTGAATGCTCCCATGTGATTATCCACAGCCTTTGGCTCCTTTTTGAATTGAATAAAAAAATTAATTTTGCCAATCTCCTCTCCCAGTAGAACAGCCTCCCCCCTTCCTGCCTGATTTCCTGGCTTGCTTTCCACCCCTGCTCCACAGGAGAAACCTCATCCTTCCCTTTTTTGTCTCCCCAGGACACTGTTGCTCTACGCCCACCTCGGCTGCCCTGAGCACTCATCAATCATGGGCACGGCTGGCACCGCTCGGTGACAGCACCGGGTGAGGGACAGAGAATGGGAGGATAAAGGCATGGGAAAGGGCTCCCCATCCCGAGCCAGGCACTGCTCCCAGCTGTATTTGCAGGGCTTCACCAAGGTCAGGGGGTTTGCCTGAGCTTCACTATCCAGCACGGGCTCATTGGAAAGTTTTGCTGACAAAGCAATGTGAATCAGGAGCCTGAGAAAAACACCCCCTCTCCCCTGCTCAGCTGGCACAGCCACATGGGCAGCACTCTCAGCACAGAGGTGGGGAAGTCAGTGAGCTCATCTCCCAGTCAGAATGGCTGATCCCTCCTGGAGAACCAGCTAAAACTGTATCTGGCCAGGGAAGCTCTTGCTGGCCTAAGCAGCCGCTCTCCCTGTGGTATTTGACCTGCTCGAATCTTCCTGGTCTAACTGTGGTGGCAAACCTTTTTACAGCAGATAAGGCCAGGGAGAAGAGTTTTTTCTCCTCCTATTTTTTTGTCCTCAAAAATGTGAAAACAGGAAAAGGAGGTCCCTGACTGAGCAAGAGAAAATGGAAACCTTATTTTTAGCGAATGATGTCCCTGTGAGTGGATTGTGAGTGTTGGAATTGTAGAGAGAAAAACCTATCTATTAATTAAAAAAAAAATTATTGTTTCATCCAGAATAGAACAGATAAAACAATGTTCTTGGTAACAATCCAGTTTCTTCCATTCAAGCTCATCAACAGCCACAAGTTTAAGTCTAAAAAAGAGTTATTTTCAAAAAGTAAATGACCTGCTGCAGATTGTCACTTCTGCAGAAGCACCTGCCATACCACCCATAAAAATCATGCCAAAAACCAGGGGCTCTGCCCAAGGGTTGACAGGCTAAAGCTGTGTTCTGTGGCTGTGCTGGAGTGGCTCTGGAAGTACAGACAACAGAGACAAACTCCCAAGTGGTATCAGACAGGGTAAGATTTCAACAGAGATCTCTGCAGACACAGAGCAAAAATAATTCTAAATAGACGAAAAACAGAGGTATTTAGACAACTGCTGAAGTGCCCACTTGAAGGCAAGGAGGCTGCAAAATATACAAGTTATACTCAAGTGATTTCCTGAGCAAGGAAGTTTTCCACTGCCAAGCCTAACAATATTGGTATCTTACCTACAAATATAAATTTCCTGCCATGAGAAACCATGTAGTTTGCACTGGAATTGGATTATTTCTCAATCTTGGGGACAGCACTTACTCTTAAATACATTTTTTACCAGCTTTTGTAAAATTCAGACCACAGAAAGCACTATGTAATCAAAGAAGCTCATTCCCAATGGGGAAAAATATTAAGTGGCTTCTGAAAGTAACAAACAGGTTCCCAATTCACTTCTGATTAGTAAAAAAAGATTTCTAATGATACAGACACAGCTATGATATTCAAATCCATCTACTATTAATAAGGCACTAATTGTAATATGTGAAAAAATTAAACTACTGATATATTAAAACAGATAATGAAAATTTTAAATGTCAGGCACTTTTTTCCGCTAATGGTTAGCCCAGTGTATCCCCCTGGGAGTTCTTGTGTCAGTGTTTTGCCAAATGTAACATCTGCCTCTCATCTCTCTGCTCTGAGTTCCACACCCTGCGTGCATTGGCCCTTCAGTTTGCCTGCCACCTACTCCTGTTCCACCAGTGGTGTCTGTCTTAACGCCCTGGTTAAAGAAAATCCCTTTAGTGCTCTCTCCTGTGGTTGTGGGATAGTGTTTCTGAGTTGGCTGGTGAATCTACCCATAAATCATCATTCAGCTGTTTTCTTTGGGACCCATTTCAGCCACGCTGGGGATTAGCTGCCAAAAAAGGTGAGCCCCCAGGCTACTGGGGCTTGTTCTCATATACAATAGCAACAAGAAAAACAATAAAAAACACCAATAAATGAAACCTCTCAATCATTCTTCCACTTTCTCATGTTTACAAAGCAGACTCCTTCTGAGGCAGGATTTGTCCCCTGACACATCAACATCAAATACCTGCACAGATCACAGGTGATTCTACAACATACCCTGTAACAAAGTCAGCACATCTATCCTCTGACCATTATTCTGTAAGTGGGAGGCATTTTTGAATCTTTGAAAGCTTTGGTCCCAGCTCCTTAAGTATTTTTGCATATTCCTCACTGTGATATCTTCTGCATCATTTGGATCCTTAGCCCCAGCATCTGGTTTTGCTGTTCATCTCTGTCTTTCTAATATGACATTATCATTGCTATTTCTCTAAAAATAGTTTCCAAAACATTTTTCCTTTCTAGTCTGATGTCTGACAGGTGGTCCTACCAAACTACATTGGTCATGACACTGGCAGCAAGCACCCTGAAACTGCAAATACAGTGAGAGCTAAGGTAAAGTAGAAAAGAACAATTTGCTATCAATCCAAGAGCCCCAAAGCTCCACATAGATTTATGCAAAGCCTCGTGCAGTGGCATTTTAACCAAAACAAGCAACAAAAGACACAGAAAAACACATTTGCCTGATGTCGATTACTTACTAGGTTTGCATTTAAAGGAGACAAGGAGGAATTTAGTGGTTCCTGGACAGAGATCAGGCCCAAAAACCCGACTATTGACAAGGAGTTGGCAGGATCTCAGGTTTTGGCATTCATCCAGTACTTTCTAGAACAATGGGCAAAAAGGATAGGCTTGAAAACAAGGTATGAAGCTACACAGCAATGAGAACACTTAGTTGCGCTTTGTTCTATACAGGAGAGAAATCACAACTTTTTGGCTATAAACATGCAAGAAACATCTGTATCACTGGACCTAGGCCATATCTCTACTAGACTTAGAGTCATGGCCAAGTTTATGGGATCACATTCACCACAGCAATGCTCACCGCAAATTAGGATGTTACCAATTCACTGTTGTTACTTTTCCCTCTGCCCCCGGGGGAGTCAGCCAAATTTCCCTGAGTGCCACCACAGCCTTGGTGGTGCAGAGCCCAGAGAAAGAGGGAACACACTGACCCCCAGCTTTTTCCCTGAATGTGCCTGAGACATACGCTCCTGAGCACATTTATGGGAGTGCAATGTCCAGGTGAGGCCTGGCAACTCAAAGAAGAGGTCTTTTTAACCATTTCATATTGATCTACGTATGTGTACCTGATCATGCTCTGTAATAACCTTCACTTGAGAGAGTTCTAACTCTCAAGTGGTGTGCTGAGGGACACTGAAGCACAACCCTATGTTTAAGCCATGTGTTTGACCTCCTGCTTAAGGGACATTTGCTTCTTCCTTGCAGTTACACACATGATCAGATATTTGCTTGACTTGCCACTTGAGCAAATTTCAGAATTGGTTTGATTGCAAAGCACAGATGTGCCTGTCTATCCTCAGCCTCCATGTCTTGTTTTGTGGGGTTTTTTTAACACTGTTGTTCTAAGGTGATATTTATTCCAAATTTATTGGCCCAGCAATATATCCTGGTTCTCTCTGTGCTGCTTCCCCTGGGAGTGGCAACAGAGAGGACAACAAACAGGTCAGCACAAAGGGCCATGTGGGCCCTCTCCAAGTCCTGCAGAAGGTCTGAGTACTCCTACTGCTCACACTGGTGCTCCCACTTCAACAGTGGGTTTGGAACTGAAGCTGCAGAAAATAGGAAGACATTGCCCAAAGTGAGTCTGTGTCCAGTTTTTAACACAGTCACAAGCCAAAGCACCTAAAAAACCCCAGTTTAAATGCGGCAGTGTACTCAGGAAATTCTTACTGACACCATTTTTGGATAGTCTGTGGTGTTGTGCCCAGGCTTTTTGATTAAAATCACAGCAGGCTGTGACAAGGAGGGTGTTATCCCCAGGTCACCCCACCCTTAGCAGGACTAACTGTAAGATAGCATTCTCTGGTAGTTATAGGTAGTCCCATAAAATGTGTGGGAATTTTTGCATTGTTTCTCATCAGAAGTGGTCTCAGTCGTACCAAGAGGTCAAATCACAAATTTACCACTGTGATAGCAGAAGCTGCATTCCTGTTTCCAGGCTGAGAGAGTTGGCAGTGGCTGGATCTCTGCTGTCAGCCCTGGAAGCCATCCCTCCCAGCAGCAATAACACACATTAGCAGTACATTGCAGTGATCCTGTAACACTCGCACTGACAGAAGGAAAGGACTTGCATCCAACACTTTTTGAGCATTAAATGCACTCTAAATTAGAGTTTAAAAGAGAAGGGAAAGCATAGCAGGCTTAATTTTATAAGTCAATTCTCCTTTTACAGAGTTGCAAGTCAAACAAATAACTCCTCCTTATTTGGGATGGTTCTGGAAGGGACCAGTGAAATAGAGTTACATCTTTAGCAAGGGGAGAGCTGTCCCCTACTGAGTCACCTTCTGTTTGCACCTGATCTGAATCATCTCCTGTGCATCTGTTTGTATTTTCTCCTGCTTAATGCAAACAGCAGCAGCATTTTCTGTCATGTTGCTGTGCACAAGCACGCAGACACAAAAACAAACAATGACACTCAAAATAGCAGCAGGCTGTTAATATCTGGAGATGGATCCAGCTCTGAAGGGATCCCTCTAATGGGAGGCCGATGTAAAACGTGCCTGTTGTGCTTCCTCCTGGCTGCAGGGCAGCATCACACCCCACTGTGGGACTGCAGATTGGCTTCCAAAGGGAAGAGGAGGAGGGGTGAGATCACTGGTGCTCTTTTCTAAGAAATCAGTTTACAAGATGTGTCTCTTCTCCTTGACAGAACAGGAACTCCCTAAGATGCAGAACGTCTCTCACGTTCTTGGCCTCACCAAAATGCTTTCATGCCTTTGATCAGTGACAGTGCCTGAATGATGATGATAGTTTATACAACAGTTATCCCATGCTGTGTTTTTTATATTCACGGAAAAAAACTGCCCATGGAGACCTCACAAGCCCAAAATAATCACTGGTGTCGCTTTGCTGTGGTCAGTAAAATGACACCAAGGATGCATCTGGCCTACTGTTTTTGGTGGGGAGAGGTACTTTCATGCGGCCTGTAGGTAATGTTTGGAATGTCTTTAGAAATTGCGGTACATTATAGGCACTTATAAAACTGCCCTAATACTGATTCTGGAGAAAGGATATTACTGCCAAACCACTCTATAGAACTCTTCAACCACCTAGGGGCAGGAACAGACACTCCCTGTTGTCAAGAAGGAATGTATGTGTCTGCTACAGGCACAAATGTTGGAAATACTCATCAAAGCTTCAAATGTTCACAGAAGCTTCTGCAGATCATCTGTAGCAGTTTCACCAACAGAACATGTTCAGAATCCACTGATTACTCATTTTTGCAATGTTTTGCTGAATTTGGCCCAACACTGGGCATTTTTCACTGTGATGAAGCAGTGATAAGTCAGACCTTCTAAGTCGTGTTATGAAAGTCTCCACAGTGGAAAGTAATAATTGATGAAGTATAAATGATTTTAAGCTATTCTTAAGCAGGCCCAGCAGACAAACGATAAGATATTGCTGATACAGATCAGGTATTCACAGAAATGCAGATATCTGCAGAAATACTTAGGATTTGCTGTTTAGCTGTCACTGCGCCTTTTCAGTGAGGAAAGACAGGCATGGAACAAGCCAGATGCCAACCATTCTATTCAGTGGGTTTGTAACCCAGCTCTGTCCAATGGTTGTATTCTCTCCTGGGGACAAGGAGGGCCTGTGTGATAGATTAAGGTTGGTCAACTCAGTCACGACGCCCTTGATTGGAAAGGAACTATTTTAGGGAATTTTGAGAAGGGGGTTTCCAAGGCAATCTACAAAGCTCTCATAATCCTATGGTAATATCCTCCTGACCAGACAAATCCTTTCATCTGTAACACTTTTGATGGTAAACTGACATAGGTACGGTGTCATTTCATTCAACGTTGCGAACAGTTGCATGGAAACATTAAGAACCTTTACAACGTGGGGTACCTGCAACGAGGTGGGTGCCACACAGTTTCTCGGTTCTGCCATCTTCGTTTGAGGCTCCTGAGTGCTGCACATGTGGGAGTCTTGCCCGTAAAATGCTGACTGAACACTGATGGTTGAGTGCCGAGGACAGTGCAGGCTCAGGTGCTCCCCATCGCAGGCATAGGCTGTGTGGTTCTGCAGGAGCTTGGTTAGGTAACCTAGAAAATATTCAGCTGTTACAACTAGTACAGGAAACCACAAGCTCGTCAGACAAAAAGAAAACCACAATCAGTCTCCGGAAAGGGCACTGTAGTCAAGGTTATACACCTGGCCTGCAGCCACACGGTTCTGTGAATGGGTCAACCTTTCGTGCTCGTAAAGGTCAGGGCCAGGACACGTGGGGTTGTGTGGCCATGAGTCACAGCCCTCCCAGCACTCCAGCAGCAGCAGGATGTGTTGTCATGGACAATCCCTGGCCTCGGGCCCTTGCCAGTCATGGCTGTGCTCAGTCTTAGGTGTGTCTGCAGAGGTCAGAAGGGGTATTACTTGGTTTTGTGGGCCAGGCTCTTGCATTCCAGCTGGCTAAAGGTACTCCTTATACCTTGTCTTAAAAGGATGCTCTGCACTTCTGGACTTCTAGGCAGTTGTGTTTCACTCTTAAGAATAATGGAGAAGCTGCCCCACACACATTTTCTTGTTTTGGTGGCTGAATCGGGGGGGAGAGGCTTATCATTGAAACAAAAACTAGTTTTCTCAAAGAAAATATTGAAAAGGAGTTTGCTCATGCCATTTAATTTCCACACTTCTGCCCTTTATAAACCTTTCCCCAAAGACAAGCAATTTTTAAAAAAGTTTTTTAAATAGAAACTTAAGAATTCTAAGCAAAAGATATGAAACTTATAGAATTGTGGAATGGTTTGGATTGGAAGGGACCTTATAAATCACCCAGTTCCAACCTCCTACCATGGGCAGGGACACCTTCCACTGGGTTGCTTCAAGCGCCATCCACCTGTCCTTGAACACTTCCAGGGATAGGTCAAACATTTCAGTTCTCTGGCATTTTTTCCAGCTCTGACTGTGCAACTAGATAAGGAAAATCAGCTCCCCTATCAGTTACTGAGTCTGGAGAAAGGAGAAGCCTGCTCCACTACTACCTTTGCTGTTCCCAATCTACACAGGAATCATGTAGATGCACCTTCTAGTGCAGCAGAAGTACGTGAGTTCTCCACCTCCCCGACCTCAGTCTGAGCACTGGCACTGGAACCAGGGCACTAAAAATGTCATGCCCTGTATTTGCAGTCTGGATCTCAAGGAGACCATGGCCAAGCCACAATCCCCATGGCCACTCAGGGGTTAAAAAAAACCCCCAAACCCACAACCAAATCTATCTCCTACATTTTCTGTGTAATTGAGATCACAAATAATTGAAGTTCCCTGCCAGAGCCACTCCTCTGCCAGCCTGCTCCTGGGAGGTGCTGAGTGTTGCCAGGAAAATGGGCCAAGTGCCCAATTGCACCCAAGCGACTTTGCCACGGCCTGATGCTGCAAAGGGGCCTCCAGTGGCCTTTGTTGCTACTGAACACCTTTGGCATCACCATCGTGGCATAAAGGGCCTCAGTGTCAGAGCATTCAGCCCCACGTGAGTTGTGGGCATTCAACACCTTCAAAGATACAGCCCGATATTTGTAAATCATTTCAATTCTTCAGGTTTCAAGTTACTTGGAACTAAGAGTGCCACATAAAAAACAGTGCAGTATTCCCTAAAGAATATCAGCTATGCTGTGATTTGGATGAGTTCCCTGGCATCTTAACTGCTACTTTGATCCTGCAAATTCCTAATCCAGTATCTAAGCACCTTTCTCCAACAATTGCAACTATTCAATCTTTAAAAAAAAATGTCTTTATAAAAAACTTGCCCTGATTCCATTGGAGCACTATGGTCCACTTGTAAAATCAGCATTAGATGGACTGGTGAAAATAAGACATCAAGCTCTCTGGCCTTCCAAGTAGACATGACTCTGCTGTTATTAAAATCCTCGTGTGTTTGCACACAATAAAGGATAAAAATAGTAATGGAAATTGCTGAAACCTAATGTTCTCTGATAAGAGGAGTGGTGACGTATGAGTATCTAAACCGCTCGTCTCGCATGGCAGACCACGTAAACCTGCATTTTTTATTACTACACACACAGACCACGCAGACACGGGTGGAGTAGCCCTTCGCAGCTCACAGCCCATGCTGAGGAAGAATTCCCACTCTAAAAATTGTGATTTCCTCTTGCTCTTCCCTGAAAAACTCCAGGTTCTTTGCTCTCCTCATGCTAGCCCTCTGCACAAAACAGGGCACTGCCTGCCCTGCCCTCAGTGAGGGAATGAAACTTTCTCAGCAGCTGCTGCCTCTCACCTCATCCCAGAGCGCTGCTTGCACCGGAGGGAGCCATTCCCAGGCTACTTTCCCTCCTTCCCTGGGCAGCAATGCCTTGTAGTCACTCTGGTAGGAGCTTCATCTCCTTGAGACCATGAGCATCCCTATATTGCTTACTGAATTCTGCACAGAAACACATTTTCAGAAATCAGAACACTTATGAGTTACGGGGTTTCTTCCCTGAGCAAACAGAATCTTAAACAGACCATATAAAAAAACTTAGTTAACTTAATGTTGTTTATTTTCGTCATTGTTTTCTGGGTTGTTGGGTGATGGAGAGGGAGGTGGTGTTCAGCTGCAGCAGTCACTTTCTCATGTGTTATCTGCAACGAGGAGGACAATAGAGCTCCTCTTTCTATTTTTCAAAAATAATAAATTTCACTCTTTAAAACAATATGAAACTTTATACAAAAAAATCCACTACTGTGAGAATTGTCTAAATTAGAAAAACTTGGCAATACTGCAGTGTCCCAATAATATCTGTGTGAAAGCTCCAGTAGGAACTTTCCCATTAATCCAAGACACACATTCATAAGTGACGTATGGGGTGCTCTGCATACAAAATCATGTACAAAACATTACAGACTGGCTCAGAAGTTAAGCCTGAAGCAACGGGCAACAAAAAGATCCCATTGATTTGAAGGCCAGAAGGTATCATCCCACGCAACTGTTTGCCTAACCCAGACTACTCACTCATTGTAACTTTGTACTGCGGCTCAAAACACCAGTGCAGAATCCAAGCTTAATCCTTTCTTCCAGAATTAGCCAAATTAGTCACAGTTCTTTCTGTGGCGGCTCTTTTTTTGTAATTGTGATGGAGGGCAAAATGTTACCCACGAAAGACACTGTTTATAAAATTCACGATGCTGTTTCTTGCCTCATCATTTTATTCTTTTGTGTATAAGTACATTGTAAACATCCTGTTTGAGTCATTCTAGCCACACCTGACCTCACAGTCTTTTATCAGTAAGAAATACACTTGGGCAGAAGCACTGCTTATTCTACTCCAAGTAGCACAACAGCTTTACTCAGCAGATCCACATACCTGCTTAATAAATGCTTTTCCTGCATAATCACTCATTTGATTTAATTTCCCTCCATGGCTTGTTTTTTTCAGTGTGCCTTTTCCCACTCTTCTTCTCAACCCTCGTACCCTTTGCTGGAGACCACCATCCTACTAACTTCATCCTTTCAGTTGTACTGCAGGAGATGGCACAAAAAGCTCATTTGCCATGCAAGGAAAATATTTTTTGTATAATCACTGTATTTTTTCTATTATCTAAACCTTTTTTGATGTGAGGATAGATGTTTACTTGAAAAAATTAGTGATAATCTAGTTTCACTGATAAGCTGTTGACCATGAAAGCCCCTTCCATTTCCAAATGACTACTTTGGTTTCAGAGCATCCAAAGCTGTTGCTTTTCTTAGAATCAGTCCTTGAGTTTTCAGTTGCCCAATTCTAAAAGACATGAAGCTTATGAGATCATGACTTCTGTCCATCTGCCATTCCCTTATTCAGCTCAGCAACTTTTAAGCTCAATGGCCAGTTTCAAGCCTGAAGCACGCAGGGCTCAGAGAAATAACGTTCCTACAAGTTTCATGAAAATTGAAGCCTGAGCTGCCACGTCAGAGTAAGAACTGCCACTTTCAACTCAGTCTAAATGATTAATGCTGAAAGTCAACTGGCAGCTGGAGAGCCACAGGCCTGTTGCCAATGGAGCAACTTGTTTCCGCTGGCCTTAGTGACAGATGAAGGATTAAGAAAATACTTAAGTTAGTAGTGAAAATGCTTTTGGGATAGTCTGACAATCAAAGCAGGCATCAGTGATGAAGGTATCAGTCAGGATTTCTATGCTTTCCATGCTTTATCAACATGAAAGTTTTCCTAAGATTTCTTTTTTTTTCCCCCCTCATAGTTATAGCTCATGGATCATAACATGGATCATAACCATCTTACTGAACCTAACTCTCATTGTCGATTAAATCTGAGGGTCAAATTAAGCAAGAGCTTGGTTCCACTTAGGCCAGAGAAAGGATCAGGTAACCAGAAGATAATTCAGCATAAGAACACGTTCAAGGTCTAGTTTGAACAAGGTTTAGTCAGTGAGCAGCAGCACAGACAAGGAACCAAGCCATGAGCTCTGTCTGGAAAAATGAAACGAAAACGTCCTAGAAAGAATAGACCTTCTGTAACTTTTTGATCATTGTTTCTCCAGGAACCACACAACCTCTTCCTCTCTGTGCCACTCAGCTCAGACATGCAGTTATGTGAATTAAACTTCTGTGGAGTGGGAAAACCCATGAATCCTGCACTCGCAGTCCACATGCCCATTCTCAGCCTCTCAGACCCTTCCACAAGCCTTCTCTTTCCTTCAGATGTACACTTTCATATTCCCTTGAGCTGTCTCCTAGGAGCTATGCTTATTGTTGTTGTATCCCAATGGCTTTCTAAGGAAATTGGAGAGATCCCTATGCACTTCTCTTTTCTCACTTACTTTTTATTTCCTTTTCCTTTTTGTCTCTCTGGATTTCCAAAGATTTGGGTCTGTAGTAAAACTCCACACTATGGTCAGTTATTCCATGAATCCAGAGGGGCAAACGCTTGTCCTGGGACCTAATATGGAACTACGGTAGAAAAGGAAGATTTTCTCCCTTCTAACTAAAGATGCTGACCAAGAGGGACAATGCTATTAAGGGAGGCTGTGAGGCTCTTTCCTGCCCTTGCCAAAATTCCTTCTTTTGGCTGGAGACAGTAACCTCTTCTAGTGCCATTAACAAGAAGTAACAAGAGAA